CTCTCTCTCTCTCTCTCTCTCTCTCTCTCTCTCTCTCACTTATACAGTGTTCTGCATGCAGGAATGCCTGAGTGCCAGAAGAGGGCACCAGATCTCGTTATAGATGGTTGTGAGCCACCATGTGGTTGCTGGGAATTGAACTCAGGACCTCTGGAAGAACAGACAGCACTCAACTCCTGAGCCATCTTTCCAGCCCCCTTTTGTTTTTGAGACAGGGTCTCCTGAAGCCCAAGCTGGCCCAGAACTCCCTCCATAGCGAAGGATAGTCTCAAATCTCTGATCCCATCATCCCCACCTCGCCAGCGCTGGGATTCCTGGCACATACCACCATGCCCAGTGGGGCTGGAGAATGAGCCCAGGCCTTCTTGCATGCTAGGTCAGTACTCTACCATTTCCAGCACACATATGGCAATTTGCAACTGTCTAGAACTCCAGTTCCAGGGGATCCGACCCCCTCCTTAGGCCTCTGCAGGTGCTAGGCATGCACATGGCATAGACAAACGTGCAGGCAAAACACAACACACAGAATAAAAACAAATCCCAGCACTCGGGAGGCAGAGGCAGGCAATCTCTAAGGTCTGAGTTCGAGGCTAGCCTGGTCTACAGAGTGAATTCCAGGACAGCCAGAGTTACATAGGGAAACCCTGTCTTAAAAAACAAACAAGCTAATTAATTAATTAATATTAAAAATGAAATATTTAAAAAGACAGACAGACGGATGGATGGATGGACGCTGCTAGTTTGGGCGGAGCTCTCCTGTAGCCGCTATGCACCACACTAGACTGGGGTCACTCAGGCTACGGTCCCGTGACACCAAGTTGAAATTTGTCACCTCCCATGAGTCTGGTGAGGAACAATAGGTCAGTTCCCCAGCAGGCCCATGTGAGCCAGAAGTTTCCTCTGCGTGGGTCGTTTCAAGGAAAGCCGTTGTGAAATGACCAGTCTGTTTCCTGCCCTCTGTTCCGCGTTCTCCAGCCTGCGCCATCTCTCTGCTCAGCCCCTTGGAACACCCGCTCTGCGTTGGACAGTGAGGTGCTGCTGCGCTGCGCTCTAGAATTGGAAATAAAAGCCAATAAACCTTGACGCTAGGTCTGTCGGGATGCTGTCTTTCGACACCCATGTGAGATGTGGAATAAGAGAAATGGAGTCAGCTGTTTAGCCGAGACCTTTTGTGTACACGTGATTTCCCACACTACACTCACCCACCAACTCCCCGAAATCCACTCTCTGCTTTGGTTCTTGGCTCTTTTCTTTTCTTTCTTTCTTTCTTTCTTTTTTTTTTTTTTTTTTTTTTTTTTTGACACTGTGTAGCCCAGATTGGCCTAAAACTCGCTATGTATTCCAGACAGGTCGAACCTGAAATTCTCCTGCCTCAGCCTCTGAAGTGCAGCGATTACAAGTGTGAACCACCATACCAGGCTTACTCATTATATTCTCAAGTCTGTACGGATATTTCTTTTTTTCCCCAGAATAGAGCCCAGGACTTAATTCTAGGAACTGAAAGGGATTGTTTCTGGGAAGAGAGCTGGGGTACTAGAAAGGGGAACTGACCAGTGTTTACACTTTGCTACTATTTGTTTTATTTTATATAAAATTTTTGCCGGGCGATGGTGGCGCACGCCTTTAATCCCAGCCCTCGGGAGGCAGAGCCAGGCGGATCTCTGTGAGTTTGAGGCCAGCCTGGGCTACCAAGTGAGCTCCAGGAAAGGCGCAAAGCTACGCAGAGAAACCCTGTCTCGGAAAAAAAAAAAATTTACCATTTTTCTTTTGAGACAAGGTCTCACTAGGTAGCCTTGGCTGTCCTGGAACTCTCTCTGTAGACCAGGCTGGCCTCAGACTCATAGAGATCTTCCTGTCTCTGTCTCCTGAGTTCTGGGATTAAAGACCTGAGCCACCACACCTAGCTAAGATTTATTTTGGTTTTAATTATGTTTTTTGTTTTGTTTTTCGAGACAGGGTTTCTCTGTGTAGTTTTGGTGCCTGTCCCAGATCTCGCTCTGTAGAGATCCATCTGCCTCTGCCTCCCAAGTACTGGGATTAAAGGCGTGCGCCTTCACCACCCTATTTGGGTTTTAATTATGTATACAGGTGCATGTGAGTGCAGTACCTGAAGAGGCCAGAAGAGAGAGTCAGATCCCCAAGAGCTGGAGTCACAGGTAGTTCTGAGCCCCTAGAGATGAACACAGGTGCTGGGAACTGAACTGCAGACTTCTGCAAGAGCTATACATGCTCTTAGCCACTGAGCCATCTTTCCATCCCCCTATTCTTTTAAGATGGGGTTTCATGGCCCCAGCTGGCCTTGAATTATATATTTATAGTAGTGGATGAACTTGACTGTCTGATCCTCCCACTTCTACCTCCAAAGTGCTGGGATTTTGGAAGTACACCACCATACCTGGGTCATGACGTCGCCTTCCCTACACCTTGTACATGGCATTAAAAGTACTGAATTTGTTATAAACAGAAAAGTCTCCTGCCTGACCTATGCCTCGAACAGCCCAGAGGGAAAGAGTGGATTGAAGGACAGAAAAAAGAGCCAGGCAGGAGGTTAGCTGTCCACACTGAGTGGTACATGCACTGATCTTTTAAATGCATTTGGATGTCTCCATGGTAAAGTGTTGCTGGACACTGTATGCACTAAGGAGGCCGGTGTGTAAAGGCGGGTGGGGAAAGGTGCTTGTTGCCATGCCTAATGACCCGGGTACAAGCCCCAGGTACCACATCTCCGTGCAAGGAGAGAATCAACTCCCACAAGCCGTCCTCTGGCCTCCATGAGCTTTTGGGGCACAGTGTAACCACCAAACTAGACCACCCCGGGGGTAGAAAGAAAGGTTTACTGGAGATCAAATTGCCAAGGCTACCCTGCTCCAGGGGTGAGGAGAAAAAGCAAAATGGTGGAAAATGGAATGGACCTTATATGACATCAGCAGGGTAGGGTCTTTAAAGTAGCACAGGTTGTTTGGATTGACCCAGAACTAGATGCCCTTGCCCAGGGTAGTTGACCTTTGGGAGGCTCCCGGTGGGTGGTCTCCTGGTAAACAGAAACCCACCATTAGGCATCTGTTTACCCAATAACAATCC